TAATGATGCTTTCCATATAAAAATACACCAACGATATCTAGACATAAAGTAATATGACCCATGAAGAAGGCTGCACAAATTAGAATTAAATGGTAAAATGTATCAGAGAATAAAATTCCTTGAGAATCAGAAAGACTGTTCTTGAATAAATAAATCGGCACCCGTGGAATGTTGGGCAGGAAACCCCTGTGTCTGATCATTTTAATCTTTTGGCAGGGCTGTCAGAGAGGCTGGTCCTCGTGGAATCCTGTTTTTTTCAGATGTCATTAAAAGAACATTCTTGTCGAAGCCCTTCCTGACTTAGCATCTATGTACGAGCCATAGCTGGAATGGCCTTCATGTCTAAAGAAGTTTGGTGCTGGCTTCAGCTCATGCCCTGAGTGGCTGTGTGACCTCCATTGAGTGGGGTCCCCTCTCTCTGAGAAATGGGAAGGTGGAGCTGATATGTTGTGGGGACGTCACAGACTTTCATTCATTGGTGCAACTAGAGTTCTTTAGACACCCACATGAGAGACCAACCTCTTTAGCAGTCCTGCTGAAAGACTAAAATGATCAGGCTCAGAGGTTTCCTGCCAAACATTTCACGGAGGCTTATTTATTTATGGAAAAAAAAAATCTTTCAGATTCTCAAGGAATTTTATTCCCTGAGAATTTTGGTGCCACATTTCTGTCTCTGAGAGTCTAGTGAGGTGCAAAACCAGACAAAGGTCCCCGCTCCCTGGTGTTCCAGTGTGAGGACAGACGGCCCTTAATCAAAGAGCCACACAAGTAAACGTATGCCCACAGCCTCAGTAAGCGCATGAAGGGCTGATGGGGGCGCACAGGTCGGGAGCTCAGGACAGGTTGATTTCATCCAACAGGGAGTTGGGAAGGGCTTCCTGAGGTTGTGAGAAGCAAGGTGGGAATGTGGGGACCATGGAGGGGACCTGGAGAGGAACAGGCTTTGAAGGCGTGGGAGCCACTGGGTTCTTGGCCAGAAGAACCCCTTGGCCAGTTGCCTTGTCTCTCTGCTTCATGATTTCCTCATCTCTGAAAAACGGGACCCATGTCAGGTCCTTTTGACAGTTACTGTGAGGTTTCCAAAGGGTGACGCGTTTGATAGTACCCAGCACCATGCTGGCAGGTTACATTTTCATTTCATTTCTGAGAATAACTCTGGAAGCAGAAATGTACTGTTTTGGTCATGGAGTTTTAGCTTTGGAGAAAGAATGAAAACAATGTGGAAGCTTCTTTTAAAACACAGTTCCCATTCTGCCCTGGCTGCTCTTCATCACAGAGCCACGTTTGAATCATTTGACTATGAAACCCTCCAGGAATGACCTTGCCGTATGACTAAGTGACTGAGGCCCAAGTGTGAGGGATTGGTGGAGGTTGAGCCATCCCTGGCCTGAGCCCTTGACATTTGGACATGATAGAAAGTGACTGGTCATGTGAACAACAGCAGTGAAAGGAGACTGTGGCCCCCACCCAGTGGTCCTCTGCTCATCTAATATCATCTCTCTGCTTACTCTGCCATACAGACTATGGTCACTCTGTAGAGACTGGCTAATCATGAGCGTACATGCAATTCCTTCTCCAGATAAACCTGGGTTAGCCCTCTCTTCTAACTCAAGGTCTGGCAATTACTCCTTTAATCTTACAAAAGCAAACAGGAGGACAGAAATAACCCATCAATTGTTTAAAACTAAAATGGCCAACAATAATAAATAATTGCCACAATAGCTTGAGGTCAGGGTCTTAATTTATTGGAGGCCGTTCAAGAATTTGAAACTCTTCTTTGAGTTAATGTTTCACATCTTGTTTGGATCCTCCGAGCTCTTGCTTCCACAGCAAGGCCATCAGATTGCTCATTGCACATATTATTCTTGTTGACGTGCCAGACAGGCAGGAGAGCAAGGTCCTCTTTCCATGGATGGGAAATGATGATTCCTTGCACCCAAAATGTGTAGTTCAAATTATCATAGCCTATTGAGAGTCCAAATAGTTTTCTTTCATGCTGTATTAGCTGTATTAATGATTGCAAACAACCAACACACATGCTGGTTAATTTAAGCAGAAAAGGAATTTATTGGAAAGACGTAGGCTAGTTCAGAGCAGAGGCCGGAAAGCCAGAGAACCAACTCGGGCAGGAAGCTGGGAAACACTCGACCTTCAAGCAGCCACTTCAGAGGATCTCATAAGGTCCCCATGTCTTTGCTCAGCACTCAAAATCCATAGCCCTGTGTGGGAGCATCTGTCAGCATCTTAGGGCCACTGACCATCCTTAGGTCACATGACTGCACTTAGGTGCCCACAGCATAGCACTCACAAGGACGGGAGGGGAGGGTCTGCCTCCTTTCTGTTGATGTACCCCTCCCATCTATCTCGAGTCCCCCAAACCAGGAAGAGATCAGGAGACTGAGTGGCTGAAAATAATGACTTTACATCAACCCTCTTAATGCTTCACTACAGCTCTCATTAACTGGTCCCCAGTTAGAGACTGGCTGCTGACATGAGTTTATTTTCTCCAAATCTCACATCACATAGTAATCTTCAGTCTCATGCGCCCATCCTCTTCCCCGTGATTACCCTTGGCCTGTTCATTCCCCTGGTCTCCTGAGTGATTCTTCCATTTCATTGCCCCTCAAATGTCCACCCTCTTCCCCTCTCTCCCCCTTCTTAATTCTGCTTCTGTTTCACCCAAAGTGGAAGCAATCAAGAAGGAAGCCACATGTTCCCACCACTTCTACCCACCCATCTGCAGCTGCCCATAAGCGCCACTTCCTTACCTCCCACCAGCCTTTCCATTTGTTCTCCAGGTCCCCACCAGCAACTGTCCCCCATCCCATCTTTATTAATTTGTTCCCTCTCTGGTGGATCCTTCCCATTAGCTTGCAAATATACAATGATAATTCCCCCTTTAGAAAATAACTATCTCCCAGGAGCTGACTTCCGCCCACCGCCACCATTCGATTTCTCTGTTCCTCTTTACAGAGGGGGAGAAAAAAAAAAACCTTTAAATAGTCATCTGTACTCACTGTTCCCACTTATTCTCTTCCTCCTTGTCTTAAACTCACTCCAGTCAGACTCCCCGCCCTATGACTCCACTTAGGCACTTTATATCAGTGACCTCGAGATAGCTAATTCCAGTGGCCAGTTCCGATTCTTCAGATAATTTCAGCCTATTGCCACATGTGACAGAATTGACCACTCCTTCCTTGGAACGTGTCTCCTGTGGTCCCCGGAAGCCATTTTCCATGGTTTTCCCCCCTGGCTTCTCTCAGTCTCCTTTGCTGGCTGCTCCTTGTCTTCAGCTACTGTGACACCTCTTATTTACCTACACTTGTTCCCTGGTGTCCTATCTGGTCCTTACCGAGGTGGATCTCCAGCCCAGAGGCCGCCTTGAACTCCAGAATCTTGCATCCAACTGCCTCCGTAGTTCCTTTAAAATCCAACAGGCATTTATTTGGGTTTTCTCTGCTCAATCTTCTTTACCGTAGTCTTTCCCTTCTCACTGAACGACAGCCCTTCTTTTCTGATTGTTGAACCTGGAGCCCTTCTAGACTTCTGTCTTCTGAACACCCCTCATCCAATCCATGAGAAAAATCTGCTGGGTGACCTTTGAAGCATCTTCAGAACATGACCTCTCCCTGCGACCTCGGCTGCCCCGTCCTGGTTTGAGCGCCCGATCATCTGCTCATGCCTGGATTATTGCAGGAGCCTCCTTGCTGGGCACCCTGATTCTCCCCTGACCACTCCACATGTGCACAATATTATCTCCTCGTGGATGCCAAGCGGTGGTGCCCCTGGGCTCAGAGCCCGGCAGGTCCTCGCATCTCTAGCACAGTTCAACCAAGGTCCTGATGGTGGCCTGAAAGGCCCTGCAGGACCCATGGACTCCACTGCCTTCATCTCCTGTTTTAGTGAGCTTTTTAGCTTCTGTGACTAAAGAACCCAACCAGCACGATTATAGAGGAGGAAATGTGTATCTGAGGGCTCAGGGTTTCAGAGGCCTTAGTCCATAGAAGGCCAGCTCCATTCCTCAGGGCTCAAGGTGAGGCTGAGCATCATGGTGGAAGAGTGTGGCAGAGGGAAGCAGCTCACATCATGGGCACCAGAAAGCAGAGTGACAGAAGTCTTCATTCTCGAGATACAAAATATATACCCCGTAGTCAGGCCCCAATTCCCACCTCCTCCAGCCACACCCTACCACTTCAGTTACCACTCAGTTAATCCCTATCAGGGGATTAATTCACTGATTGGGTCAAGACTCGTACAACCCATTTCTCCTCTGAACCCTCTTGCACTGTCTCACATGTGAGCTTTTGGGGGGGGCACCTCACATCTAAACCATAACACCCCCTAAGCTCATTTCCTCCCACTCTGCTGCTCACACACTCCTCTCCAGCCACACTGGCTTCCTTTCTGTTTCCTGAACACACCCTAAGGACTTTTCCTTTGGTAGGCCCTGAATTTCTGCCTGCCTTGCTCCCTTTCTTCTTCCAGGTTTGAGAGGTGACCTCATGATGAAGGCTTCCTTGACCATTTTGTTTAAAACTGCAACCCGCTCCCCCTCCAAACCTGGCAGTTTCTATCTTCCTCACACTAAGTTTCTCTGATCTAGTATTTATGTTTGCTTCTTTCTGTGTTTCCTGAAGCTATAAGAACTCTGGTTCACTGCTGTCTCCCTAGCATGTAGCATAGTGACCAGAACATAGTAAATACCCCAAATAACTATATGAATTAATTCCATGTATAGGTTATTAAATGTGTTATAGTTTTCCAAGTTTGATATCTTAAGATTTCCTATGGCTCACGTAGGAGTGAGTGAGGCAGTGTTTTAGGTGAGGGGGCTGGGGCCCCTGATTCCCTAAGGACACATGGCTGGTTAACTAGCTACCTGGCACTTGTAGTTCTGATCCCAGTTTTTGATCCCTGCACTCAACTATCCCCTGATGTCTTAGGTTATATTAATGTAAGCTTCAGAGTACTAATTGCTGTTTGTTTGTTTTTCATTGTAGTATTGATGAGAAAACCCCATATCTAGCTTTGGGAGCTGTGAAGAATATCTCCCTAAACATCTCCATCTCCAACCTTGGGGACGATGCCTATGATGCCAACGTGTCCTTCAATGTGTCCCGGGAGCTCTTCTTCATCAACATGTGGCAGAAGGTAAGGGGGCCACCCCCAAAAGAAAGTCAGTGCACTCACTGACTTTCTTCATAGCTTGGACCACACAATGATTCTACAAGGACCATTCGTTCACAAAGAGCATTATTTGGAATTATTAGAAATTTTTCCATCCCGACCCTAGAGAATTTGTTGGTATAACTGAAGAAGCAGCTGTAAATACCTTGGAGAAGTGTCTGTATCTTACGTTGTCTCCCATCCCTTTTCTCTTGTGTACCCTCCCATATGGCTAATCTCTGCCCCTTCTCTGAGATGCTATAGTCACCGTTGCCAGCTCGTGTGCATTCTAAAAAATTCCAGTTTTAAGCAATATTGTTGTGAAACTTAAGAAATAAGGACAGATCACTGCTGATCGTGCTTGTTATCACCAATAATGTTCTTGATGTTTTCTATTCGTCATTTCTATCAGCGTATACTTTGACATATTTATTTTTCCTGCTGTATTTGAGGATATTGAGGGAATGAACTTGTGTCCATGAATTAGGTGAGGGTTGATAGAGTGGGTTAATTTACTTGAATGAATTGAAATATATGTAGTGTGACTCAAGGAAAAAAAAAAGGAATGGATACTTCTTCTCTCCCAGGGAACCCCCTCAAGGCACTGTCTTTGTAGAGCAAGAGGCACAGGCTCCTCAGCAGGAGCAGGGAGTGACCCAGGCTGACCACTCTGTCCAGTTGCTCTGTTGACAGCTGCTCAAATGGGAATTTTTGCAGCTTTTCAAAAAATGTGCAGCATTGAACTGGGCTGCCCTGGGTTCTGTGTTAAAATAGAACCCAAATCGCTTTCTAAGGAAAACCTCCTAGCCCCTGAGCGAGCCCATTTGTGCCCATAGGTGCACCTTTGAGCACGTGGGCAGCCTTCTGTTCAGGCACCTACCCTGCCAGGCTCAACGGTTTTGACAGGACTGTGCCAAACTTACTCGGCTTAGAGGGCAAGTGAAGCTCCCGGAGCCACCCATAATGGAGGTACTCCAAGAACTTTCCAAGAAGTCACCTCAAATCCCTGCTGCTTAATAGCTCTCAGCAGCTTCTGGATTAGAGGAGGCCAAAAAAGCAATCAAGGACTGTGGGAAGGGCATGGATTCCATCCACCATCTCCACCCTAAACATTATCCTGAGTTAAACCCAGTCAAGAGAGAACCAAGTAAGCTGTCGGTTCCGCCATCTCTGACCACTCCTAATTGCATGTTCCCTGATGCCATCTCCCTGTGTGGGGTGGGAGGGCAGCTGAGGGGGAGGGGTTTACTCAGGGGACCAGACCTGTGAAGCTCGTCTCTGGTGCCTGGGTCATTAAATTACATGGTTTCCTCTTACTCAGGACCTATGGGAGAAATTTCTCTTCTTTCTCAGGCTTAGAGAGACCTCTGCCTTTCTTGGGCATTGTGTTTGTCTTTACCTCTGAAAACAGTTTTGTGACTTATCAGGCTCCATTCTCTCTTACCAGTTGCTAGAAAATTCAGAGCTGGCTTCTGCCAATATGTAGGACTTGGAGTATTATTTTATGAATTAAGTAACCACTTGACTCTTGCTGTGCTCCCCTTCACTGTGTTTTTTTTCATTGGCTTGGAGACTGAATAATATTCTACCATATAGATATACTAAGCATCACCTACAAATTTCTCTTATTGCATAGATAGATTATTTCCAGTTTTTTATTAGCTTGTAGACCGAATAATATTTTACCAAATGGATAATCTACAAATTCCTCTTACTAGGTATTTAAATGATTTTCAGTTTTTTATTCTTTTTTTGGTACTGGGGATTGAATTCAGGGGTACTGGACCACTGAGCCACATCCCCAGCCCTATTTTGTATTTTATTTACAGACAGGGTCTCACTGAGTTTCTTAGCACCTCGCAGTTGCTGAGTCTGGCTTTGAACTTGTGATTCTCCTATCTCAGCCTCCTGAGCTGCTGGGATTGCAGGTGTGCACCACTGCACCCAGCCAGTTTTTTATTCTTTTAAAAAATAATATTGCAACGAACATCTTTTACAGATAGTAGTATTAACAAATGATCATATCCTTAGTTTGGGGCGGGGGAGCTCATGAGCATTAATGAGCACCTGCAATGCCCAGGGACTTCACAAACATTTCTCCATTCCTTCCTCCCTGCATGAGATGCAGTGCATGTGATTTATTGAAGGCTTGCTCTCAGGAGAAGAGCAGTGAGAGAAGCAAGATAGGAAAGGAAAGGCTGTGCAGGAGTCTGCTGTCAGGTCACACCTAGCCTTGATCTGTTCTATGTGGTGGAAAGAAGAGGGGGAACATCAAAGAGCATAAGTCACTCAGCAGACTTATCCCCCTTTGAAGTTGCAGGGGACAGCACCATTTTCTACCTCTGTATCATTATGGGCACAGGGCATGGGGGATGGTTTCTAGCCTCCCAGGCATTCTGGACAAAGAGGCTCTGGTCAGTCAAGGACAATATATCTCAGAAGGCCACAGGAATGAGTCCTCACCTCTGTAGCTGGCCCTGGGAAAATGGGAACACCTCATTTTGATCTCTTTGCCATTGAATTCCAGCATCCTATAAAATCTTTAGCACAGGAAACCTTAGGTTTCAGTTTGGCAGAAAGTTGACAAGGTGTCGGGGGCCCTTCGGGATATGGTAAGGGTTAGTGTGAGAGTCGGGCAGGGCACAGAGACATCACGTGGCTGTAGGAAAAGAAACAAAAATTCCCTTCCCATGACAATGACTATTCTGAAAGGTTGATCAACTTGGGATATAAGTGGCCTCACCGTGCTCAGGGTAAGATTCTAAGAACATATGCATCCGTGGGTAATGAAGGGAACCAAGAGAGCTCATCCCACCTGTGTAATAATGCATAGACCTAATTGAAGCAGCATAGCCTCCTACAAAGATCCTAATGCACAAACCAAGAAAAGCATAACTCAGGAGACAGAAGGAAGGTATAACTTTTAAGATTATTAATAAAGAACTAAAGTCAAATTTCCAGAAGATACACTTTTGTCCTTGAGGAAATTCAAGAAGAAATTAGGACAGTGAAGGATCAGATAGTTGAACCGTGGAATGGCTGAACATGGTATGGACTGAAGGTCAAGCAAAAATAAAGCTTGTGGATGGGGTAAGGAACTGTTCTAATGAGACCAAGAAAGCAATGGCAGAATTAGTGTTGTGTGGTAATCAGGAAAGAGCAAAAGCATCGGAAACTTATTCATTATTGTAGAGAATCTGTGAGAATATGGAGAAGAACAAACCAAAGAAGAAAGCTGACAGTGTGGAGATGGTAATGCGGAAGACGGAAATGGGGAGGGGGGGTGTCAGCAAAAATGGTTCCAGGAAAATTGGAAGAGAAGACGAGTAGTAGACATCATTCCTTAGACATGGAAGCAGCATCTCCATTGTCTTAAATGGGTGCTGCAAACACCAGACACAGATACTAAAAACATTTTGCTGTCTACACATAGCTTCATGAAATTTTCAATTTTCACATGAAAATGATACTACAAATATTTAATCAAAAATAAGTTTTCTAGAAACTTTTCCATAACATTAGTGTCAAACATTAGAACAGCATATCCCATTGCAGAGACATCATGTGGCTGTAAGAGTCGGGACCAACCAGAAAAGCAGATAGGAAGACAATCCTCCAAATCCTGAGGGCAATCCAAAATTCTGTAACCTAGCTAACTTGCCCTTCTTTGTGACATCCAAATAGAGATTCTTAGTTACATGAGGATTCGTATTCTCTTGACTCTCCTAGTTTGGATTTCCCCCAAAGTGAAGGCTGATACAATGATGTAGGTGCAGGTGGTTTATTTAGGGAGTGATCTCAGAAGCTGCTGTGTGGGAGTGGAGAGCTTAGACAAAGAAGAGAGAGAAGACAGAAAAGCATGCATTCATGACCACAGTGAGCAACTTGGGCTTCATCTTCTGCAGGTCCTCTGAGAACCTGGGTATAACACACCCCAGAATCGTTCCCCTCAGAGGTGACAAGGCTGCTAGAGGAGTACCCCTCCTGTCACTCATCATGGAGGATGGTTCCAGGACTTTAACTCTCGGAAATGTCCAGCATTCCCCAACTATGGCCCATATTCCCTGGGCCAGAAAGGAACTGAGACAGAAAGTTGTAGGAAACTTTAGACTGGAGGGTACTGACTTCAGGAGGTCAGTGCCCTGGTTGGTTCTAGGGACTGCACGAGAGCAAGGTACTTGAAGTATCTACTGCAGTCACCACAAAACTTCCTGAAAAATAGTTATGGACAGGTAAATCACTAGGAATATGAAAGTTGTTGAATAAAAAGTGTGGTAAAGACACAGAATGAAACAAAAATAATTTTATAAATGTTTAAGGTAGTAAACAAATACCCCCCAAAATTCTATAATATATAATTTAAAAGAGTAATTTTTTAAAAGGGCTCTGATCTCATTTATCTAATAGATTTGATAAGGATGACTTTTTGTCCCTGGTCCTGCTTCACATTCTTCAGGGTGAGGATCAGATTCCTCAGCTGTTTCTGTGAGGCTACATCCTCTGTTACCTGGGCCTTCCCAGCTTCCTTCCTACCTCAGACTCATTGCTCACTCTGTCCCCTTGGATGTACACACAGAATCAGTCCTCATTTAAACTGAAGCTGCTTTTACCCAGGTACCCCCCATGCCCCTGTTTTTGTTTAATGAACTATTTTTCACTGAAATCTCAGCTTAGGCGTTATCTATGTAGGTTCTGTTACCTATGTGGGTTCCTGACCTGGCTGCATGGGACCCGTCCCCTAACAGGTGGGTGAATAGAGGGGTATTGCTCTTGTCCAAAGTCACAGAGAAACTCAAAGCACAGGTCTTCAAGGTCTCCAGTCTTCTCTGTCACTGCAGTTAATAAATGACATATTAGCTTCTGAGAGTAAACAACAATACCCAAAACAACTTGTATCAGTCAGGTTTCCATTGCTGTGACAAAACATCTAAGAGAAATCAACTTAGAAGAGGAAAGGTTTATTTTGGTTTCAGCCCATAGTTGGT